CATAATACTATTGTCTTTTGCAGCTGGACATCGTAAATCGTATTGGAGTGCTGCATCTGGTGATTTTCCTTCTAAAATTGCTTTTAAAAAGTGCTTCAAAATTGTTCTTTGTTTGCTTTGGCGTCGAGATCCCGGTTTTGGAGGTGCAATTTCAGAAGCCGTTGCGCGTAGTTCTATCGGGTTTTGCAGCTCAATCTTTGCAAATCGCATTGTGATGGCTGCGTCAAGGTTGGTTGGTGCCGCAGCTGCGTGTCTTTTGCAGCTGGACATAGTAAATTGTATTGGAGTGGCTGCATCAAGGCTGCGATAGTGATTTGTCAGCAGATGTTCTCAATTTTGGCGCTGGCGATTTTTCTTTTAAAATGTCTTTTAAAAAGTGTTTCAAAATCTTTTTTTCCTTTGGCGTCGAGATCGGTTTTGGAGCCGCAATTTCTGTGCAAAAGCATCTCTGTGTAAAAGTTTCTCGCACAGTGCGAAAGCTTTTGTGTGTACAAGCTTTTGTGTGTAAAAACTTTCTCTGTGTAAAAGCTTCTGTGTGCAAAAGCTTCTATGTGGTAAAGGTTTCTGTGTGTAAACGCTTTTCTGTGTAAAAAAGCTTCTGTGTGCAAAAGCTTTTGCGCTTAAAAGCTTCTCTGTGTGAAAGCTTCTGTGTGACAAAGCTTTTCTGTCTAAAAGATTCTGCGTTCTGTGTGTGAAAGCTTTGCTGTGTAAAAGCTTTTCTGCGTGTAAAGCTTCCGTGTGCAAAGCTTCTGTGCGAAAAAGCTTCTGTGTAAAAGCTTTGCCTTGTAAAAGCTTTTGTGTGTAAAGTTTCCATGTGCAAAAGCTTCTGTGCGTAAAAGCTTTGCTGTGTAAAAGCTTCTGTGTGACAAAGCTTCTCGGTCTAAAAGCTTCTGTGTGTCAAAAGCTTCTGTGTGTAAAAGCTTTGCTGTCTAAAAGCTTTTCTGTGTGTGAAGCTTCTGTGTGCAAAAGCTTCTGTGTAAAAGCTTTGCTGTGTAAAAGTTTCTGTGTAAAAGATTTGTAGTACGAAGTAGAACTGGGAAGTACTGTGTGCAAGCTTTGTAGTACAAAGTAGCTTTGTGCAAGCTTTGTAGTACGAAGTAGTACTGGGAAGTACTTTGTGCAAGCTTTGTAGTACAGAATAATACTGGGAAGTACTTTGTGCAAGCTTTGTAGTTAAGTAGTACTGGGAAGTACTTTGTGCAATTGTTGTAGTACGAAGTAGTATTGGGAAGTACCTTGTGCAAGCTTTGTAGTACGAAGTTGTACTGGGAAGTACCTTGTGCAAGCTCTGTAGTACGAAGTAGTACTGGGAAGTACTTTGTGCAAGCTTTGTAGTACAGAATAATACTGGGAAGTACTTTGTGCAAGCTGTTGCTACGAAGTAGTACTGGGAAGTACTTTGTGCAAGCTTTGTAGTACGAAGTAGTGCTGGGAAGTACCTTGTGCAAGCTTTGTAGTACAAAGTTGTACTGGGAAGTTCTTTGTGCAAGCTGCTGCTACGAAGTAGTACTGGGAAGTACTTTGTGCAAGCGTTGTAGTGCGAAGTAGTACTGGAAAGTACTTTGTGCAAGCTTTGTAGTACGAAGTAGTACTGGGAAGTACTTTGTGCAAGCTTTGTAGTACGAAGTAGTACTGGGAAGTACTTTGTGCAAGGCTTGTAGTACGAAGTAGTACTGCGAAGTACTTTGTGCAAGCTTTGTAGTACGAAGTAGTACTGGGAAGTACTTTGTGCAAGCTTTGTAGTACAGAATAATACTGGGAAGTACTTTGTGCAAGCTTTGTAGTTTAGTAGTACTGGGAAGTACCTTGTGCAAGCTCTGTAGTACGAAGTAGTACTGGGAAGTACTTTGTGCAAGCTTTGTAGTACAGAATAATACTGGGAAGTACTTTGTGCAAGCTGCTGCTACGAAGTAGTACTGGGAAGTACTTTGTGCAAGCTTTGTAGTACGGAGTGGTACTGCGAAGTCTTTTGTGCAGCTTTGTAGTACAGAGTAGTACTGGGAAGTACTTTGTGCAAGCTTTGTAGTACGAAGTAGTACTGGGAAATGCTTTGGGCAGGTATTTTGTGGTACAGGAAGGGCTTTGTGCAAGTCTTGTAGTACACAGAATGAATTTTGGTCGCAGGGTAGATGTCAATGGAAAGAGATTCGAGAATGAAAAATTGCCTCAAGACAAAGGAGATGTCAAGACAGAAGGTGTCAAAGGAAACAATTTTAACAGAAAGAGGTCTCCAAACAAAAGTGTGAAACAACAGAAAACAAGAAAAATGGTGCCAAGCAAAAACGGTGTCAAGAGAATGAGATGTGGAGAGAAGAGAATGTCAAGAGAAGCATGCCACAAGAAAAAGAGATGCCCAAAGATAAGGATGCCAAGAGAAAGAGACGTCAACGGAAAGCGGTTGAAACGACATCGGTTTCAAGAGACAGCGGTGACATCAGAAAAAGCTTGTCAGGAGAGAAGAGTGTGTCCAGTCTCTGGCTCCAGAGCTGTCCACAAGAACGGCTGTCAAGATTCAGAAATGTCAGGAGCAAGCCGGATCAAGAGAAAGTGGCAACATCAGACAAAGATGTCGAGAGCAAGAAATGTCAAGGACAAAGACTTCCAAGAGATCACGCAGTCAACGGCTGTGCCAGCCAGGGGATCAGGCGCTGCTCCTATAGGCGCTCCCTTGTCTTTGTAGGTTCTTCCCTCTCTCGAAACTTCCATCACCCGGCTTGCCCGGGCTCTACTTGTGTATATCATATGAGGTGCATTGCATCTACTACTTATATTACTAAAATATAATACCCAAGGTCAAGGAATCAGAAAATCATCAGGACCCCAAAAAAACAGTTGGTGACTCCGGCGAGGGAGGTCTCAACATGTTTCAATTCTGGGCCATCTTCGTTAGGGATCATCATCCCATGTACCTTGGAAATGAAAAGAATATGGAACCAAACCAAATGGTTCATGTGTTTTCTATTTGTATATTGAAATGTATGACATATGTAATCCGTAATCTAATCTGAAGATTATGTTGATTTATAATGATTTGTATATGTTTATATCCAAAGACCCAAGCTGAGATGCTAAACTCTCGGAACACCCAAAACCTCAAAAAAGGTGCTCTAAAATGGCTGAAATCCCCATGTTTTCTCGGTGGAAAACAAACAAACCATGTTCCCAATGGCCCGACACTGAGCTCTCGGCCTGAGTATCTCGGCCGTCCTCAAACCTGTCAGCCTTGACGATCTGATCATCCGAGAAGAAGATACTCGTCCTGTCCAGCATGGTTTTTGGCCTGGATTTTTGACCACCTTTTTCGCAGGGCGTTCCACCGGAAACCATCAACATGGACTTTTGATCTTAATTTATTTTGTATTTACTCTTCAAATCCTGCAGGTTTCGATTTAGCATCATTTCCCTTGGCATTTCCATCTACCAAGTCCTCGGAGGAGAGGAAAGGCCTTCCGTATTGGAGGCCACCTGGCGCGAGGGTGCAGACTTTCAGACAGTGCTGGTGGATTGGTTGAAAAACTATATCCTGGGGATATCATGAGGATACTCTATCTATCTATCTAATCTAATCTAATCTAATCTGATCTAATCTAATCTGATCTATCTGATCTATCTATCTATCTAACTATCTATCTATCTATCTATCCATCTATCTATCTATCTATCCATCCATCCATCCATCTGTCTATCTATCTATCTATCTAATCTAATCTAATCTAATCTAATCTAATCTCATCTCATCTCATCTCATCTCATCTCATCTCATCTATCTATCTATCTATCTATCTAATCTATCTAATCTATCTAATCTATCTAATCTATCTAATCTATCTAATCTATCTAATCTATCTAATCTATCTAATCTATCTAATCTATCTAATCTATCTATCTATCTAATCTATCTAGTCTATCTAATCTATCTAATCTATCTAATCTATCTAATTTATCTAATCTATCTAATCTATCTAATCTATCTAATCTATCTAATCTATCTATCTATCTATCTATCTATCTATCTATCTATCTGTCTATCTATCTATCTATCCATCCATCCATCCATCCATCTATCTATCTAATCTATCTATCTATCTATCTATCTATCTAATCTATCTAATCTATCTAATCTATCTAATCTATCTAATCTATCTAATCTATCTAATCTATCTAATCTATCTAATCTATCTAATCTATCTAATCTATCTAATCTATCTAATTTGTCTAATCTATCTATCTATCTATCGATCGATCGATCGATCTATCGATCTATCGATCTATCTATCTATCGATCTCTATCTATCTATCTATCTATCGATCGATCGATCTATCGATCTATCGATCGATCTATCGATCTATCGGTCTATCGATCTATCTATCTATCTAATCTAATCTAATCTAAGCTAATCTAATCTAATCTAATCTAATCCTATCTATCTATCTATCTATCTATCTATCCATCCATCCATCTGTCTATCTATCTATCTAATCTAATCTCATCTCATCTCATCTCATCTCATCTCATCTATCTATCTATCTATCTAATCTATCTAATCTATCTAATCTATCTAATCTATCTAATCTATCTAATCTATCTAATCTATCTAATCTATCTAATCTATCGAATCTATCGAATCTAATCTATCTAATCTATCTAATCTATCTAATCTATCTAATCTATCTAATCTATCTAATCTATCTAATCTATCTAATCTATCTAATCGATCTAATCGATCTAATCTATCCAATCTATCCAATCTATCTAATCTATCTAATCTATCTAATCTATCTAATCTATCTAATCTATCTATCTAATCTATCTAATCTATCTAATCTATCTAATCTATCTAATCTATCTAATCTATCTAATCTATCTAATCTATCTAATCTATCTAATCTATCTAATCTATCTAATCTATCTAATCTATCTAATCTATCTAATCTATCGAATCTATCTAATCTATCTAATCTATCGAATCTATCTAATCTATCTAATCTATCTAATCTATCTAATCTATCTAATCTATCTAATCTATCTAATCTGTCTAATCTATCTATCTATCTATCTATCTATCGATCGATCTCTATCTATCTTTCTATCTATCGATCGATCCATCGATCGATCTATCGATCTATCGATCTATCGATCTATCGGTCTATCGATCTATCTATCTATCTAATCTAATCTAATCTAATCTAATCTAATCCTATCTATCTATCTATCTATCTATAAATTCTATCTACCTACCTAGCTATCTAGCTATCTAGCTATCTAGCTATTTATCTATCTATCCATCTATCCATCTATCCATCTATCCATCTATCCATCTATCTTTCTATCTATCTATCTATCTATCTATCCATCGATCGATCGATCTATCGATCTATCGATCTATCGATCTATCGATCTATCTATCTATCTGTCTATCTGTCTGTCTATCTATCTATCTATCTATCTATCTATCTATCTATCTATTCTATCTACCTACCTAGCTATCTAGTTATCTAGCTATCTAGCTATCTAGCTATCTAGCTATCTATCTATCTATCTATCTATGTATCTATCTAGCTACAGACTTATATAATGGAATAATTGTTGGTTTTAGCAACTATATCATGCGATTTTCTTCGTAAAAAAGGGGGATTGGTCCACAATCTATGCAGGTGGTGTGTAGAAAACACTGGGCTCCTGCAGACTTGGGCTTCACCGGTTTTGCTATAGGAAACCCCAAATATCTAGAACAGTTGCCCCATCATGTTGTAGATGACCATTTCATATATTTAATGGTTTGGCTCACATCATTTCAGAAAATTGTTGGTCCAGGTTCCCAGAAAACTCTTCTTTTGATGGTTGCTATATGTGCACCTCTTGCTTCCTTGTTTATGGGGATAGTTGGTTTGACGACACGTTCTACCCACAGCATCCTTTGAATATATCAAGTTTATCTATCTAATCTAATCTAATCTGTATTTTTTCTAGTTTCTATTTATGTGATCTGATCAAATCCAATTTATCTAATGTATATACATACATGTATGTATCTATACATGCTACATATAATGCTTCAGGAGAATGAACCGTTCGTGTAATGCGCTCGATTCCTCTCTAGAAATGTTCTTCCCAGCACGGAATGCGCTGCGAGAGCGCCTCTGAAAGCGTTGTTCGAGGCTTGGGTAACAGCCTTAGCTGTGATCTGTTTTGTGCAAATGGCAGCATCTTCTAACATATACAGTATCTAACATATATCTGCAGATCAAGATTGGATGCACAAATTTGGATGATTCAAATTGATTCAAGATATTCAATACTGAAAACCAATAAACATGATTTGAATTCTAAAAAAACATGGCTAACTGTTGCACAAATGCCGCTCTATCCCCTCGCACCTGAGGTGTATCTCCCACCAAGACGCCCACGACGCTTCGCCCCGATTCACAGTTCGGAAGATCCCTGACAGGTCGCAAGTCCAGCAGCAGTTCACTGTGGTCATCATCCCCAAGATCAATCATCGGATTGGTTTTATTGCAATTTGCACCAAAAAAAGGTTTAACCCAAATGTATAAATTGGGTAAACTCACTATAATACCTAGAAGAAACAATATAACATATAATATAAAATAATAAAATTAATATAACAAATAATAATTGATATAATATAAAACATATATTTAAAAAATAGTATATTTAATTTCCAAAATAATAATATACATATGATATAATGTAATAAAATAAACGGTATAGTTTAAAACAATATGATAAACTATTAAAAATAAAAACAACAAAACATAATACAATACAATACCATACCATGCAATACAATACAACATAATATAATATAGTAAAATATAGTATAAGACATTATAAACTATTTAAAAAATATAGTATAATACAATATAGAAAAATATAATGTAATATAACAAGATATAACATAAGCTAACATAACCTAACATAATACAATTTGTAATATAACCTAATACAAAAAATGCAATATAATACGGTACAATAAAATAATCCACAATAAAACACAAATAAATATAAAACAAAATCATGTAATTTCAAAAAACGATATAATCTAACATAAGAAAAAAAATATCATTTTAAAAAATAACTTGCTAGAATACAATAGAAAAGAATACAATATACAACATAACAACATAACGTACTGTAACTATATATAATAGATAAGATAAGATAGTAAATTTTAACGTATAATTATAATAGAATAAAGTCTAACAGAACAAAATATAATACAATATAGTATAATAAGATATAATATAATATGATATAACATATTGTAGCTTAATACAAAATAATCAAATACAATAACACTTTATATAATATATTTTAATATAGGTTTATATAAAACATATATTTATATAACAATTAAATGTATACAGATTTTTTTAAAAAAAAATGTATATATAATACAATATTATATTGTATGTATACAATATATTATATGTAAAAATAGAACACAATATAATATTATATTATATTATATTATACTA